ACCTGTCAATATGGCCTACTACAGGCGCGGCTTCGTGGAGCCAATCGCCCCCGTCTCCCAGACGCTCGCTGGATTTTAAGCTCACCAGAAGGAGCTATCTTGTTCCGAGACTGGCTCAAGTCCACTCTATTTTTTTCGAAGAGTTTCAAAGGTGCCATTAATGGGGGAAGCTCTGTTTGCACCTACATTTGTAGGACAGCCCTGATTACTTAGACACCAACGCCGTCTAAATACAAACATCTACATGTAGTTTAATTTCCGCTTTTAATTATATAATTTATATCAATTTAAGAAGAGTCTCACTGATCTGGCGACAATGCGGACCGGGAACAGTGGGGTCTTTATCGGGTTTTTGTTATGGGAATGCCGGTGCGTCGGGTAACCCTTCATAAGCTGAGCTAACCGGCATGGGGCTTTAAAGCACTGTTTTTTGTTTTTTTGCTTTTTTTTTATTACTTTTGGTCCTTAGCTAACGCTATCTTTTCCACATTGGGTCAAGGACCGGCGGATCCGGCAGGGTGCCCTGTAACTTTTCCTACTGCCTAGCTCGTTCCAACCTCGTGAATCGCTACCAAAAGTGCAGCTTATTGAACAAGAAAGGTTAATTTCAAAAATCAAAACAACTCCGAAAAATCAGAAGATTCCTCCATAATGAATCCAGTCATTGTGCTCCTCACACATTCCCTGGTCTGTCACACCTTCCAAATGACATATTTGCTCCTTCTATGCCCAGAGCAAAAGATGGGTTAGCAGGCACCCTTTATCAAGCCAGTATCCTGCTAATAGTTAGTAGATGCCCCAAATGGGGGCATCGTCGAGTTCGCTGTTCCCTCAAGCTTCTTCCTCAGATCCCAGCGCTCCGAAACCTGTAGCCTCGGCCATTGCGACATCCTTCGCCGCGGCGACGATCGCCTCTTCGGCCTTTTTGGCTGCAGCCCTAGCTCGAGCCGTCTCCACGAACTTCCCTTGCTTGAGGTGCCGTATCCATGCGAGCTGATCTTTTGTCACCGGCCCAGACTTTCTGGGTCTGACTTGGCAGGCCCGAGAATCCGATCGGTGGGATCCCCCACAGTTGCGACAGTTTGTGAGGGCCTTGCACTCAGCTTCCGAGTGCATGTTGGAGCCGCAGTTCTAGCAGGCTGGAGCGCGGGAGCAACCACGAGTGGCATGGAAGCCCAAACAGCGTTAACACTGTTCAATTTGGCGACGAGGCTTGTAAATGGTAGCCCTACCAGACTCGTCGAAGAGGCGGAAGCCCGCACGAGGGGCGACTTTCCGGTCGAAAAGAGCATGCCAGTTTCGGTGCGGTGCCCCAGGTCGACACCTCCCATGAGATCGGACCTGGATTGGTCTCACGCCGGTGGTAAGGGTGATTTTTACGAAGAACAACTCAGCATCGATCGCTCTGGGGCCGCTCTCTGTAATTACACTTACAGGTACGTTCGGTATCTGTAAGGCTACGAGATCTGAAGATGCCTCGAGTTTGGCGGTTTCACTCGCCAGCTTCGAAGAGCCATCTAGCATCTCTTGTCGTGTTTTTTCGTCCTATGCTAGCATGGCAAAGCCGGTCCTCACTCAATGAAGTGAGGTTATTTTATCGTGAAAGAAAAGGAATCTCATCTCCAATTTGCTCCTCACGCAACTTGTGGATAGTTTTCGCCACGGGTGGTCCTTTTCAAGGCAAAGGAACAGTCGCTTGTCGACTTTCGCCTTGGGGATTTCTTTTTGTTGGGCTTTGACAGCAGGTCGCGGCACAGCTTTTACAGTTGGGACTGCTTTTTGTTGCAGTCCATTTCTGGCCACCGTAGCCCAGGTGCTTTTGACAGGCAGAACTGGGACGGCGGGAGTTGTGTTACTCCTGGCTTCGGGAGCCCTTGGGGTTGGGTTCGCCGGGCGAGGAGGGAGAACTGGTGGCGTATTGGCCGGGCCCGTGGCCATGTATTGCGCAATGGAGGCGCGTAGGTAGACTCTCATGGAGTCTACGAATTGTCTATTTGACCCTTTGGTCAAAGGGAGAAGGGTGGCTTCGACGTCAGAGATGGCGGCGGAGCAGAGGGCCAGATTTGTCGCTATTTCGGCGGCGTTTTGTTGTTCAGCTTCGACTATTGGTCAGAGCTCGAGGGGACACTCTACTTTCGTGGCAGCTTTTGGCTGCGACGTTGATGTTGACGCTGCTATGGGTGCAGCGTTCTCCGACGGTTTTGGGGTGGTCGGAGGAGGTTTGGACGATTCTCCAATCCCGTGGGGGACGGAGAATGGTTGAGGAATTTCCTCAAAAATTTCAACTGACCCGATCATGTCAGTATCGGGCTCAGTGACGGCGGGGAGGGCTTTTTCCTTCCCTTTAGTTGAGACCTTGCTCATCTCCGCGCATTCCTGAGACTGGGCAAGGCCAGGTATTTGTTCGAGAGCCCTCGGGCGGACTCTCGTGTTGTCCAACTTGGCGTTGGGACGCTTTTTTCGAACAGGTGGCATGGTGAAAATGCCAGTGACTCGATCACAATGATTTGATAGAATGCGAGGAGCGCGAGAGGGAGGGAGAGGGGGAAAAAGTGAAGATTCGAAAATTCGAATTTGAGAAAATTGTGGTTTTGTATCAAGCTGGCACGACGATGATATAAATAAATAAATAAGTTCAGCCCTGTTTTTGTAAGAACCTTCGAAAATAACACAATTTAATATTCAAATAAGGAAAAAACAAAGAAATTGAAGAAAATCAACAACAACTGAGACTGTATGTGTAAAGTAATTCTTATAAAAGTAGAAGCCCCAGCCAGACAATGAACCTAAATCCTTTTCTATTTCATCCTATCTGGTGCGCTACTAGATCCAAATACTACCGACTTATCAGCAGATAGATATACTCCAGAAAATCAAGTAATAGTTTCTTGTTCATGACCAATAAAATGGAATCAATGATAAGCAGAGCTTCGACCCTATTATCTAATCAAATCTTGTTCAGCTCCAAGGTGATGGAGATAAAAGATTGTGCTGGTAGATGAAGACCATGAAGACCTCAAGAGTGTTTGGGGATAATCATCAAATTGGCGACAGAAATGATAATCGATCTCGACTCAGTTGACCTCAAAGTGAGGTGTAGAGATTCGTAGAAGATGCTACTGATATGCCTTGAAATTTCTCCCTATACCTGGGTCAGTTGAAAAAATTTGCCTCACAAGCACATCTCTTACCAATCATATGTCATGAGCTAGAGCCTAGCACAACTCTGGCGTAAGCCTAAGGTATTTGAATGTTGAAGGATTTGTATAAGTTAGGGCTGAAGGATGATGGGAGATCCAAACATTCTGTATCGTAATGGTCGAATGGTCGTATGGTTAAGTGGTGATAGGGCTATTGTGATCTGACGCAGTTCAATCTGCGGACTTTGTTGTGAGCAGTTATTACATCTCACGTGATGGAACACGGGAGCGAAGTAAAAGAGGGGACAGCCCACTAGCCAAATCTAAGCGATTACGGGCACATGTAGAACTGTAACACATTCTCTGTAGATAGAAATAACAAGTAATAATGATCAAATAATTGAATCAACCTCCACACAATTGAGACCCATAGAAGTGCCAAACTTTCATACAACCCTGAATTGTATTGTCGCAATCGCATCTGTAACGAGCTACCACTGCATTCCAGAATACACTCTCTAACTGTGATAAGCTACACCGCCAGGTCTAGCAAACAAATTACAACAAGAACTAGCTCGAGCGGAATGCAGAGAAGCCTGACAACTGGGCATCTGGGCAAGAGATATCCCCCACATACTGTTCTTCACATTATTAACTTCATTTTCATAACTCGAAACCTTGGCATAAAGCCAGATTATTCATATACTTTTATATGTAATTCAATTGTCCTGATTTGGCGTCTTGAAGCCCATGCAGGTATTTATCGGAAGATATGTACTTTAAATAGTAAGTCTTAATTTGACGTTTAGAACACTCACACTCAGATGTTATATACAGATGTCACTCGAAGTCAACCCCTACGGCGTATAACCTCTTCCGTGCATACCCATCGCAGGGAAAAGAGGGAAAAGAGTGAAAAACCTGTGGCTATCAAAGTTTACTTTCATCATCCCACGAGTACAATATCTCCGCGAGAGACGGTGGTTTGAGGGTCTGACTAGGATCGAACCATCTTTCTCCTGTCTCGATTGGGGTAGGTGTTCAAGGTTCCCAGTATCTACTTGGGAAAACGGCCCGGATGGTGTACCACTGCACCATCTAACCCTGCTTATTCATATTCTTGGTTACCCAAGTTTAACATTGTCTTCTGTACCTAGATCTAGATAGTTCGTGAATAACATCTATCTTACGACCCTTACATATAATTTTTAACTGGCATAAAGAGCTTCATATATTATATTTTTTAGGGACTTTGGCAAACCCTCCCCAAACAAAACTTACTCACAAAGTCAACATCATATAATACTTTGGGCTTGTTTCATTATGCAATATAAATCCACAATTTGACACATGCAGAATATTCGACATCAAGTATCAATCACAACGCCGACACCAACTCGGATAACAATCTAAAACTTACCCGTGACCACATCAAATATTAACAAACATGCTGCGACGCAAAAATTGCATTCAAATTACTTCAAACTCGATAACAGTTGCACCAAATGTCACGGGGCGAGGGTACGTAGAACGAGGTGAATATCACACACGAGTTGTGCGATGAGAAGGGGAGAGACTATCTAGCTACACGAAGGTCTTTAGAGGCTCAGTTATCGCTTAATCTCATACCACGCCACCTATCATTCTACTACCGTGACACCGAATGATCATTCTGTTTAATCCTTACGTTGATTAGCATTTGATTCAGTTTATTCCAGACAAAATATCATACCTCTATGGGATAAATATTTTTCCTCATTGGCTAGTCATATTCTTCAAAAAGGCCATGCTCTTCGGCATCTCATGTCTACCTTCTACCTTCTACTTCGCTCCAAAAGCTCTTCTTGATCGACACGATAGTTATCGATTATCCAGCTCAGACTCGCCTCTCGCTACCGGCCTCTCGATTTTATACGAGGCAAACTCTCTCGTCGGAACATCTCGCTCGAATAGTATTTCGAGCTCCTCAAAGCTGCGACCCTTGGTTTCGGGTAACCGAAAAAAGGTCCAGGTTGCAGCGATGAGTGCTGTTCCAGCCCAGAGAAGCCCTGTATAGCCCTTGAGATTCCACTTGGTTGGATTCATCAAGTAGGGCTCAATAGTTTTGGCGAGAGTGTCGACGAGATAGTAAGAGGTTCGCGCCAGGCAAATGGTTTTTTGCCGAAGACGCGTCGAGCCAATTTCCGCCGGAATTGCCCAGCCAAGTTGACCAATAGACAGTTGAAAGATGAATGTCCACAGGAGAATCAAGGCTGTTTGTCCGATAACTATCGTGCTACTCGAGTCTTTTATAGCAAGAAGGCCAACTAAAAGTAGAATGGTCGATAATGTGACCATGCCAAAAAGATACATACGACGTCGTCCGACATACGGCATGATACAAAACCAAGAAGTGATGGTCCCAAGTAATGCAATGCCTATTCCACCCACATTCAGCTTGTAAGCATCGGATGTCCGAAGTCCGATTTGCTGGAAGAAGTAGGTGGAATTGTATGCAAACGATGTCCCCGACAGCACTTGCCCAACAAAAGCCATGCATGCAACTTCTGTCCGTCGATGTTCAGTTCCACGGAAGCAATCCAAGTAGGATGTACCCCTGAATACCTTACCCTCGGCAATATTGATGGAAACAATCATCGTTAATGTTTCCTTGACGTCAGAAGATGCATGTTTCGATTAGAGTCGAGCAAGGGATCTTTCGGCTGCTTCAAGTCGACCAGTCCGTACCAAATGCCAAGGTGATTCAGGCATAAAAAATAGTACTGGATGCAGAATTATCGGCCATAACCATTGAAGAGCGAAAGCGGCGCGGTATGACCATGATCCATCGATGGTGAGTAGCCCCTGCAAGACGCCGGCTGCAACCAATTGGCCAAGGATAAAGCACATGTTGGTAAAGGTTGTCAGATAAACCCTTAGACATAGTGGCAAGACCTCGGATGCATAGGCCGGCGCCACGCTTGCAAACACGCCCCAAGGAAGCCCACAAAGAAACTCGCCGACACAGAGCACCCAGATATTCGGGGCTACAAATGTGATGGCGATAAATCCAGCCAACACCAAGAGCGCGCCCAAAATTATCTTCTTCGGCCCAAACCAAGGCACAAGATATCCATTCGCTATGGTACCCAAGAATGAGCCCACACCCACGGCATTGCCCAATGCCACTTGCCAGGTCGCCGACAATTGGAATGTGGCCGTGACCTCGTCATAGTGGCCGTACTTCTGAGCAAAAGCCGGGTAGGCGAAGAAATTGTGGATTAGAATAGCGTCGTAACCTTCCATTACGATGCACATGGATACCATGATTGACCAAAATATAGCCGGCCGGTAAAGACGAATGGCTTGGCTAGTCGTAAGATCATCTTGACGATTTGCTCCGGTATGGGCCTCATCGGCGTTCATGTTTTCTGTGTGGCTATCGACAGCAATAACGACAGGCACAGTAGAATCTATTCGATGGTTAATTAAATGGCAAGCTAGAATAAGACGTTGTAACCTACCCATTGTCGATCTAGGGGGAAAATCGTAATATAGTCGAAAAAGTTTGGATATTTGGCAAGATAAGTGCTTAAACCAGGTTTTCCAAAACAGATGACTTTTGACAGCGAAATACGAATGTCGTATGAGATTTCTCACCAAAAAGTGCCTTTCTTTGATTTTATTGATGTTAAGGCAAGTCGAACTGGATAAGATGATTTAATCGAATTGATTGATTGAACTCCATTCAATTGGGAGAACTCTTTTTATAGAGGGATTGATTCACAAGCCTCTCTCTCTCTGAAGTTGGTCGAACTGGCTATCTCGCCCAACTAGGAGTATCCAAAAACTCGAAGATCGACCTTTGGCATGAGAAACGAATACTTTGTCGAATGCGACAAAGCGTCATCAGAGCTCTTGTCATATGTTGAGAGCAATAAGACATCAGTGCGATGAAGTAGAGGGACTTCACACCAATGAGAAAGTGACGTGCATTGCACTAGACTCATCTATTGTTCATTAACATCGTTGAGTGGATACAAATGACAGTCATTACTAACCTGATCTCGGCTGGCTCATTTCAAAGAGGATTAAATGGCTACTTTGATATTCATAGCTTAGTATTTTATGGGGAACATCTCATCCAAAATTATTCAGTGCTGCAAAATTGTGGAGCAAAGTTGTTGATCGTGCCAGTTTGGGTCTCGCATCAAAATAAACTCTTGAATAGGCCGTCTTATGATTGGAGTAATAGGAATATGGATCTGAAAAAGACCTGATCTGCTTTTTTATCTATGGGGCCGTGGTCAAAATAATCATGTGAGAAAACAGTTGAGGAAAGTCCAATTCGCTTTCATTGTTGGGACTTATTGTCTGACATCATGATATCAGGAGATACCGCATTAGTTCGACTACCTCTGTAAAGTGGCAGGAGGTACTGCTGAGTTTATTTCAGGGTAGATAGGGCAGTCAGGAACATGACTGAAGCGTTGGTAGGATCAAAGCCACTCTCCATCTCTTGCTATCTTGAAAATGAGTAGATGGACTTGTATTTCTTCACAGTTGAAATCACGCGAGGACTAGCTAAAACAATGCTCATGTAAAAATTGTTTGATTTCCCCGAAAATAAAGTATCTAGTAATGACAAGCTATCTATCAATAGCAACTATCCTACAAATATCTGATGCAGTAAATAGGATGGGGTGGAAAATGAATGATGAACACTAGCATATTTGAGACACAACAGATTCTACGGTATTCGTGGTAGCATTTGCGAGAAATTCGGTTTTTTTTCGATTTGATATGAGGTCTGAATTGCGCAGCTTGTCCCGCGAAATCAATTCTGCGATTAAATCCACAAGCCATCTCTTGACAACGATCGCGATCTGCTCCACTTGACTTCAGGTCAAAGCTTGAAATCTGGGAACTAGATGAGAAATAGTTGTTAATAGAAATATGACAAGAGATCTATTGGAAAGTGTGTATGGGTTCTAAGAGGAAATTCGCTCAAAGAATATAGGCACAGCTTCAAAGTACTTCGTAGCAGTTCAATCAAATAAATTATTCACGTAAATCATTCTTATTATATTATATTATACGTCGGAATATTTTAAAGAATGTACGTCTAGGTTTCTACATATTACTCGTGTTCTTTGTCTGACGCTAAAACCAATTTCAGTCTAGTGCAATTGTGTGGCAAGTTATTCCTAAGCAGCCTTGCCGATCATCACCGACAATTGCGTAGCTCTAGAGTAAGCAACTGGTGCGAAATTTCAACAAGATCTAAGCTTATCGTTTCATTATACATGTTGAACGATTAATTCTAAGCACAAATGAATAGACAGCCTAAATCTATCTTAATTAATTTGTGATCAGCATCTCAGATCCATTTGTTGTGATAGTGGATCATGTTCATAACAATAGCAGTAGTTCAACGATAGTTGGAAGGGCCAGAAGATTACTTTGGTGATCCACTCTTCCCTACGAATCCTGATTAATTAGACTTTTGAAGTGGGTAAACTCGTGTCGTGCTTTCACTTTATCTCATTCAATTTCCCATCAAAGCATGTAATTTTTGTGATTTCATCTGTTCATAAATGGATCTCCTTTGGAATACATTTGAAACACTCCAAGGACTTTTATTCAGTCTCTGTCATTAAGTTACAATTGCACCAATGTTAAATACGTATTTACCAAAATATTATCTGCCACTCAACCCTAGTTTTAGTTTCTCGTAATTAATCAGAATGGCATACAATCCCAGTTTATATCGATCATTTTCCTCCGATCGTTATCTAGTCACGATCCTCTACTTTCTCCCCATTATTTAGCTCATCTTATTCAATCATCATGCTAATTTTCTTACTAGTCTTCAAGCTATCTTGCCCCTTTTTGTTGATTGCTGTCGGATTATTGTGTATGCAGCTTTCAAGTTAGACTTAATATCGGAGAAAATGTACTCAATATACAAGATAAGCACTCATGTCTCGGATCTCATTTGCAGGACCACTGCGAAGTTATGGCACCTTTCTCTTTACTCTAAGACAAGCTTCATCCATGGATACTCACCCAGGGGAGCGTCTCAAAAACCCTGAGTTATCCAGACATGCCTCTGTTGTAATCTAACGCTTTTCATCATCGGACTTAATGGTGAGCAGTAGTTGAATCGCACGTGAGGCCATGCGGGGGAGAAGGAACAGGATGGCGAAAGCCGCTAGCCAGACCTAAGCGATGTGGCCCACTTGTGGATGGGGAAATCCCTTTTTGTTTATGAAAAGAATAACCATATCTAGTACAACAAGAGTAAGGAACTCATTCATCCACATCCCAGTTACCTCATAATTCGTAAAACTTGCCAAAATTCCAAATTTTACGCCCTTCGAGATTTTATCCTTCCTTTGCATTAACTAGTAAACTTGTCCTGATCCCTATCACGTCCTTTCCAAAAAACTACCTCCAATATTTGTGCGCCGCGCTTTCTTTTCTCCGTCGAGTATAAATATCGGTGTGTGCGTGTATTTGGTGACTAGCCAAGGCCAGAGATTGTCGACGAGTGGTTTGGACATTGGAATTAGAATAGACCAGGTCGTACTTGTAGATTTGATGAGACTTAGGTAGAAGTCGATCTCGATGGCAGTGAAAAATTGACGTGGTGTATTCTGAATCATTGCCTCGTGTTACAGGCTAGCGCCTTGTTTAGTTATAACCGGAGTTTATCCGGTTCATTTATCGAGAAGTCTTAGAGTACATGGCTTGGCTGGGTGTGTGTGTGTGTTTTATTGTACTACTTGAGTCTATGACTATCTAGCACATTGGGCTCCTCTCTGACCCAGGCCACACCTTGTACAGTGCTCCTTGCCTCTTTTGTTACTTGAAAAATCATTGATATATTCCCCTTGATGAATAACCATTCAGCTCAGTGTTTACCCGTGGAATTCAGCCACCTTTTCCACGGAACCTTCTACCCAAAAAAAATAAAAAATGGTAGCAATGGAAACTGCGTGCGCGGGAAAAAGTCTCAAAAAACCTGCAACCCCAGCCAGGCGAGGCCTAGACACCGGGACCACATGAGGTGCGCATATTCATCTATATCTCCCTTCTTTGTAACAGTCGAGGTCGACTTGATCCAATCCACCATCTCCGTATCTGGTGCTGGGTACGCTCCGGAAACTCATCGGATGGCTTTTCCTCCATGATCAAGGGTGGGTGACGAGTAGGGCTCCGACCCTACCATCTGATCTGATCGTGGTTAGCTTCATGACAGTGGTGATAGGAGAATGTGTTGAGAGATGAAGACGATAGAGACCGCGAAAGCGATTGGGAATCCTCTTCGAAGTGAGGACTTTGTTACTCAATCTCGGCTCTGCAGACTCTACAGTGAGAGCTGGAGGTTCGTAGGGGACACCACTGACAGGTGTTGAGAATAGTCCCCCATGGCTTGGCTGGATTAAGGAGTTGTGTAAAAGATAACTCCTGCATAAATGTGGATCCTAAAGCAGGCTACGTTATGTAATATAGACTACTAAATGCGGTTAGCCTATAATTAGTAAGCTACGCACAAAGTGTAGATTTCGGAGTTGGGAGTGAGGAGAAAAGATAGACAAATTTATTAGAACTCAAGCTTAACTATTGCATTCTGCGGAACTAGCTGTAGTAGA